AAATTTGTTTCCATATTTCGTGCGAAAAATGGGACACGTACACAGTATATCTTAATAAAGCAGGGGTAAAGGAAGCTCCTAGAGAGTAGTAGCAGGCTAAAAAAATGTTAGGCAAAAAACTCTCACTTACATAGAAAAATTTGTAAATTTACATGTACATGAATTATAAAACAAGCAGCAGCACCGCAAGAAGAGGAATAAAAGGAAGGTTGAGGCGCCTGTATAAGAGTGTACTATCGTTACACTGACTAGCCGCAACCAAGCAACTTCTATGAATTGCAGTGTAGCCTCAGGGGCACGTATGATACTGCTACATCTACACTTCTTCTATCCTACTTCTTTTTTCAGCAGAATGAAACAAGCAAGGTGATGATGAGGAGCAACGATACGAGAAAGAAAAAGAGAGGCAAAAGGGTGAGTGGCCTTTTTCATGATAGCCGCGGGGGAAGAACGAAAGGCTAGTATGGTGCTTTCTTTCTTTCTACCTTTTCCAAGTCAGGAGGAGAGAAGCTCTTCTGCTCTTGCTCTATACGCATGGAGTCGTGGAATGAGCTCGATAATGAGTTGACCCGAAGTCTTGTAAATTTTATGAACGTGTTCGACGACCAACCCAAATACAGCAATATAGCACAAATGATATGACAACGTTAAAAAATGATTATGTCCGTCAATTTTCTGCCAATTACGAGCATTATTTGCTCAACATAATTTTAAGATCATATAATAAATTGGGTGTCAGTAGTTGCTATCAATATGTTTATGTATAATACATGGATGTAGTGTATTATCATGCTGCTTTTTTTTTATCCCGGAAAAACTAATATCAATTTATAGGACTATTTTTGAAGATCTAAGAAAATTTCAAATAATATTAACAGTACCCGTAATCGATAATTTTTTTAAATCCATATTTTAAAATATAACTATTTTTTAAAATATCAGAAGCTTTGCAGGGATCTTCACCATATAGCAATATTTTTATATTCAAGGGTAGAGTTTAACAAACAAGTATACTAAATCCCAACGCTTTAATATATAATGCATGGTTAAATATGTTCATGCAGATTACTGTTTGATCAAAAAAATCATGTACCCAGTCTTAATGCAGGGTTTAGAACCTATGTTATAGAATGTCTTACAGAGAATACAAATGAGTTCAAGTATATATTATGAAGCTGGAATTAAAAGTTAAAAATAAAATATACCTTAGAAGAGAAACCTTATTCTAGTGATTAATGAAGAACACAGACTATTGTAAGTCGTGCATGATTGTCGTGCAATTATTTTCAATTCCATATATCATGAGGTCAACCAAGTAAAACATAAAATACCAACTCCAATCATTTTGTCTGATATTGTCTTGTGGCAACCCTACCTTTTTTTGTAAATACTATTTGAATATTTTTCAATGTAGATCAGCTGAATGTATTACATTAAATAAACAGTCAAATTTATGATTTATGATGAACTAGCTTCCAGATACAATTTCTGCAGATTTTCTATCAAAAAGATATGCGGACAATGCTCAAATCTCAGAAAATGATTACGATAATTATTAAACGCCTTGAAATTCCTTGAAATACTTCAAAAAAATTCACAAGGTATGACATACTCAGAGCTTTTACCTCCTAAGAAGTTTTCCAAGTTGGAGGAAATCTCTCAACTGATTGTCTAGTTAAAATACAGACCTTTTTATCGTCTTTGACTTCCTCAAGTTGTATCTGATTCGAATTTTGCTTTTTTTTCTATAAAAAAAAAGTTTCTATTCTTTTGGTTCATTGCTTCTTCTGTTGCAGCAGGTTAGGAATTAATGATACCAAAAACGAAATAAAGTATTGGCATCATGCTTTTTAAGGTATCAAAATGTTACTTGAGAAGGATGGACACTATTATTAAAGTACCGTGTATTTTATTATAATTTATGTCCTTGATAGATAATGCTGTTATCTGCCCACACAAAAAGTTTGAAAGTAGGTCAATGTTGAAAAATGAAAAAAAAATCTAAAGTTTGGACTTTTAACATGGCTTCTTGTGCAGGCCATGCTTTTTATCACTGAAACTACTGTGCTTGAACTTCATTAATATCTAGTGTTCCAATAAAAAACTAATCAGCAATAGTTAAAAATGTGTTCTTTTCGAATATTTAAAAATGTGTTGAAATTAAAGAAAGTGTATGTAGGTTGCTGTGTATTTTTTAAAGATTTTCGTTGTTGAAATTTCAATTAGGTTACGTCAGCTGAAAAACACGTTGAAATAGAAGATGATACATTCAAAGTAATGTCTCAAGCAGATAAGAAAAAATATAAATTGATTGACGTTTTAGAGTGATTAAGGTAAAAGTACTAGTACGCGAGCATTTCATAAAATTGTACTAGTAGCTTAAACAGCTTGAAAAAAACTATTTTCAATTTTAAAGTGAATGGAAAAAAATTGTTTATGATACCCTTTGATCAATTTTTAGATAAAACAAAATTTATATTTTATTAAGTCTTTATATTCAATGACTTTATAGTCAGCGACTTGTACGAGATGGCTTGTGAGACTATTCAGGTACTGGTACCATTAGATTTTGCCTTCGGCCAGTACTCGAACACATAAAAATGATTGAAATTCACTATTAATCAATAATAATAGTATGTCAAGCCAGCCGTTATGGTTTTAATAAGACGTGACAAATGAAATTAGAAATAAATTTTCTGATGTGGTTATCTAAAATACATGATAAAAACCTTAACCAGTAAGAAGTAGCTAACATAACCTCTCTCCCATTTTATTAACATAGGATGTTCGAGTACTGAATCAAAAATTCGTATCGGCACCAATACTTGAACATGATGTCAATCTACTAGGTCATTGGTAAAAATACTTTAAAATTAATTTATCAATTGTATACACTACCTACAAAAGATTTTATGTTTTTTATTGATAGGGAAAAATATAAACTTACTGGTGGAATGACTGTTTTGTTATTATGCAATTCAGAAATTCATTAAAAATGGAGAAAACAAAGAATTTGCAAAAAAAGTTTTCGAATACTACTTTTTACCTTAATCTTTAATTGTAATAATTTAACAAATGTAAATAAACAAAAAAAATGTGTGTGTATTCACAGAGATAAATATGTATTTATGAAAATTTATAATTCAAAATAGTTAAAAGTTATGACGTAATATAAACAATATTACGTCATAACTTTTAACTATTTTGAATTATAAATTTTCATGAATACATATTTATCTCTGTGAATACACACACATTTTTTTTGTTTATTTACATTTGTTAAATTATTACAATTAAAGATTAAGGTAAAAAGTAGTATTCGAAAACTTTTTTTGGAAATTCTTTGTTTTTTCAAATTTGTTGTTTACACAAGCGAGCAAACGAGCAACATTAACGTACGTGTTCTGTTACTCTGTTTTGTCTTTCAAGGACTTACATAACTACAGAATTAGAGTTTTGCACTAAATTAAGATAAGTAAACTTTTTTCGGTCACAGTAATAAAAAATAACACTTTTGAAGTTAAAAAATCATTTAACATTTTTCATGTTCACACTTGTCTGTTTCAAGTAAGCAAAAATTATGTCAGACCTATACCAACTAGAGAGAGAAATCGAGTCCTTAAGGACGTTCGGTAGTGTTAGCGGGGGGAAACATTTGCGCGGTGAGGGAAAACCAGCGATGAATGAAGATTTGGCAACGTCGTACGGGTCTTAAATGTGTGAGTGTTCATGTACACGCATCAGGTGTCTCTGCACACTCTACACTGTCTGCTCGTCTGCTGCGTGCTGCGTCGGTTACGACAGCGTTCGTGTATCAATGTTTTTGTGATAAAGCTGTAAGTATTTTTTGCCAACTTTTTCCCCCATGTCGTCTATCATTCCCAAAACAGTGATTAAAAATCTAAGTCAAAATAAAGTAGATTTTAATATTATTGTTGATAAATTTATGGAAGGTAATGATGGTTTAAGATCGTTTCTAATAAATGGGCAAAGCCCTTTAATCAAAAGAGCTACCAGTGTAAATAAAATACTTGAATTTTTAAATGACTTGACAAGTCTCATACAGCATGGGATGTCAGATAAGTAGGATGATTTCTAAGATGAGTGATTCAAACTATGAGCATGTGATTTTGTAATGTGCAAAAAAATTGTATCTTAAGAAGAAATAATAAATTTGAAATTAAAAAAAAAAATAAATAGCGTGTTATTAACATTTATTGTTTTTTACGGGAAGGGGTGGGCGTTCTGTACATACACTCACGCACACACGTAAGCTTGTATTTTATGCGTAAATGGATAAATATCTACAATAATATTGAGATATTTACTGATCAACATCCTGGAACATTTTGAATTTCCCGCCACTTGCGACGTTGCCGTTGCGTTTCGGTCGAGCTTTTATTTAATTTTTTATTTATAAACGAATCAGACGATCGTCGCAAAACTTGGTATACATCAAATTAATAACATTATCTGTAACATATAAAAAAATTGGCCAAATTCACTGGCCCAATTTGCTTAAAACTGTGATTTAGTCAGTTCTCCCATAAGCGACAGTGTTAAAATGACTTAACTTTGAAATTCAATATCTCGAAAACGAAACAGAGGAACCTCTTTAAATTTTGACTGGTTTATTGTAACAACAATAAAAACGTCTGGTCAAAATTTAAGAAAAATTCGTTGGAAAATTCAATCACTACCGAACGTCCTTAAAAGTTTTGACAAACTCTTGTCCATGTGCGTATATTATACGTACATAAACATATATATAGATCAAGACAGATTTTTCAAACATAGTTGAAGTAAACATGGTTGTTAACATATTTAAAAGGTTTATATTTTGAAGAAAAAATAATTGTATTTTATAAGTAGTTTATGTTTAGTAAGTTTTTTAAAAACGACAACTATTTTACACAACTGTAGAAACATATCTGATAATTATAATTAACAACAAATGACTATCAACTGATTTTTTAAATAGATGTTATTTATTTATTCAATTAGCCTTGAAAACTAGTTTCAGGCAATCTTTCTTCCATGCACATTACCATAGCTACAGACACATCGCAGTCAGCATTTTTATTGGCTGTATATTGTCCAACAAAAAGTATAATGCTTTTGTGTTAAACAGAAATTTATTATAGTATTTGAATAAAATAATTAAAATAAAAATGCCTCACCATCGAAAACGCATCCCTTTAGTTTTTCCTTTGTATTTTCATCCATAGATGGATGATCTCCTTGATATATTTTTAGTGCTTTCTCATACACCAACTTGCCATTTAAAACCTATGAATGAAATGGAAATTAGTTGTAGAATAAAATAATATTACTTATAACTAATACTTACGAGTCCCATTTTTTTAAAAAGACAGTGGAAAAAGCACTTAGATTTGGGATCTCCAAAATTAGTTAGCTTACCTGCGAAATGTAATTTAAAAAAATAAATAAATTTAAAAAAAATGGTAGATAGTATTACAACCATTTTATGCTAATCATTATGTAATATGTTGTAAATAAATTCCTACCATTTGGTAATCTAGCTTCATTCTTACACTGTTCAAGTATTTTGTTTGAAATCGACAGAAATCTGCAGGAAACAAGAGCCTTAAATTTGAATGTTACATTATATTAAGTACAACTGATTTTCTAAAGTTAAATTTAAAATATTCAAATACTATTAAAGTTAAACTACCAGTAACGTTACAGCAATGAAAATCCTGAGAATGTGATGCATTGTGGGCTCGAGGAAATACTCGTGTGAAGAGAACAAAAATGCAAACGAACATTATATCTAGTCATTTGTGCTAAAAATTTGACATGGCAATGTTGCTCTTTTACGTAACGTACATCAAATGTCAGCAGTTTTTACAAATACAAACGTTAAAAGTATATTGGTTAGAACAAAATGATGTTAACAAATCATAAATTTTTATTTTATTTTCATTAAATTTTTTGTTATTTATAAATGAGGTAATCTATCACATTATTATTTAATATATTGCAGTGATTAAAAATAAATGATATAATTTGCTTATTTCAAGAAATTATTTATAAAGATTTACACACTTTTGCATACGAAGTTCTACTTTTATAAAAAAATTAATCATATCATCGGATAGTGAAGGCTGCTACCTTTTTTTTAAACTAGTTGATAGTGGCAACGTTATTACATAATTTTGTAAATTAAAATTCGCTCTTATGGTAGAACTAAAATGTAAACAAAACTTCTTAACAGCTCTTATAGGAAAAAGGGAAAATGTAATGAAACAAGCGGCTAAATTTATGAAAAAGCTGCGTTTTTGCACATGAGGCACGACCGAGTTTTTTTTGGTTTGGAGTGGTTTTTTTTTTCTTTTTACCAGAGTACCATTTTAAAATGACTGCCATTTTTAAATTTTTTAATAACTTATTTAAAATGGTGATTACTTAAGTTTATTGATCGTTCAAAAAAAGTTATGATAAAAAATATTAATAGAAGACGTGATTTTGAAATTTGGTGCTCAAAATTCAAAAAAAGGTATAGAATTTAACATACTGAGGCTTAACTAGTTTGTTTAAAGTTTTTTTCCCGCATAGTGTGCGGAAAAAGTGTGCGGCAAATATTTTCCGCACAGTGTGCGGAAAAGGTGTGTGGCAAAGGTTTTTGTCGCACAGTGTGTGGAAAAAGTGTGCGGCAAATATTTTCCGCACAGTGTGCGGAAAAGGTGTGTGGCAAAGATTTTTTCTGCACAGTATACAATTTACCCCTTTTGGTTAATCATAAATGAAATTTATTTTTCACAAATGACATATATTATGTACATGTTGAATATTTGATAAATATAGAATCTTATTATTTGGACTTATTTACGCTTAAATACAAAAATGTCATTAGTTGAAAATGGATTTTGACATCGATTTGTTTCAGGGCGCGTCTACCTATAATTCGTACAACCGGATTAAATATAGTAGTTTTCCTACGAGTTTGAAGAGTCTCTGTTTGCGAACCGAGACGTTTGCGGCCCGAGCCGAAGGCGAGGGACGTAACGAGGTTCGTAAAGGAAACTTTTCGAACGAGTTCCAGAAAACTGCTTTTTCGCCCGAGGAAGTAACAGCCTCCCAAAACCACCCGAGGGCGGAAAAGTTCTTTTCTGCCCCACACCCACAGGCATAACCCTGCGCGAATGAAAGACACTTAGGGTGTAAAGTGAGGTGCGTAAAATAGAAAGAAATTATAGTGAGGTTGTAAAGAGATATGTAAAAGTCTAGAAACGAGTACATGAAAATATCCACAAAGTAGAAAAATTTTTTTAACTGTCAAATAATCATATGACATAGATGAATGAAATTTTTTTGTTGCTCTCAGTAATGTTAGTAGGAAAATAATGAACATAAAAGATATAATCTCTGACAATAATGATGGAAATGATACACAAAGAGAAAATTCGCTCATGTCAAGTAAAAACATATAACTATGTTTTCAATGCAGATGAAGACTCTGGGATGGTTATGCAAGTTTTTTTATGATTAATACATGGTTTTTTTTTTTTAATTTTTCGAGCAAAACTTAAATTTACTACATAGTCTTAAACTGTAACACAGTACTTAACTTACAGTGCTATATATTTAATTTTAATTTGCGTGTTAATTACAGTTTATAAATCTCTGTAACCTAAGACTTCTACGAGCATTATTTTTCTTTGGTACTATAAAGTATAAAAAAAAGATATAAATTTCACCACAAAGACCAAATCAGCGAATTAGAAGAAAAAAAAGTACATTTTTGAGAGTAGACGTTTTTTTTTTATTCAATTAACGATATTGACTATTTATTCCTAATCATCACTAGTTATACAATAACAAGTGGCCCCTAAGAATGAAAAAAATGTAAATCAACAAATTAAATGTATAAAACACAAAATATTTGACTTGGCTTAATGAGTCAGTAGAGTGTTTTTAATTTTTGTAACAATAAATTTCGTCAAGTGGTAATGACCTTTTTACTATTGATTGTTCTAGTTCTATCGATTTCTTACTGATTCACATTCTCATACTAAGTACCAGTTTGAGCTCGGTCTTAATTGAAGCAGTAAGAATTTTAATACTTAAGGACGTTCACTCGTACCCAATCTTTTTGACGCATAAGATCAGCTTTGTTGTAACTTGCATCACTATATATACAGATATAACGTGACATACTAACAGTAGCTGTCAAAAGAGAATTATTTTATTCACTAATTTATTGCTTATTCCATGAGCCATGAATGAAGATGAGACTATAGCTACGTAATCACCAAGTTTTTAGCCATTTTCTAAAAAATTTCCAATCAAATCTTGACTTCGATTATCCAGATATTGCAGGTTATGTATCAGAACAGTACTGATTCTTATAAGACTGCACGTTAAAAGTTCAGAAATAAAATTATCAATATCTCACTTTATAAGCCATAAAGGGACTTGAAATTTGAATCAAAGGTTTTTCATACACTAATTTATCTCTGGTCAAAGTATTATCAATATGTTGACGTTAATTCTCTTAGCGAGTGAACTTTCTAATCAAGGCTTGTATAAAGGCGAAGAGTTCCTACCAAGTTGCAACAAAACTGGATGAAATTACTTGGCTTATTCTAAAAACTTCATCAACTTCTATACCTTAAAATATTTTACTAAAACCCGTTTTTTACTTAATTTTTTTCTTTGTAGGCTACAGGGTCACTTGAACTTTTTGTTTCGATAGATATTTACAGAGACAAAAAATGGACATTTAGGGGTACATGTCCCAATTATGGACCCTGTCCCCATTGTGTCCCCGGAAAAAAACAATGATAATTTAAACAAATCATTTATTAAAAGAAAGAATTATAATCCCAGTCATTTGTCTTTAAATTTATCATGATAATATTATATAGCAGCATCCAAACAATATTAAATCAATTAAATGACATATTACAGAGTGACACTTAGATTTTTGACTGCCATAATTTTGAAAGGATATGTAAAAAAGAAAATGTAGTATTTCAATCGAAAAAATTGGATATTAGTTAAATGCAAACTTGAAAAATATGATAAAATCATATGAGAGCACAAAAAAGTTTTTTTAATTGATGTTTTTAGAGGGGCCATAATTGGCCAGGTGCATGCCATGCAGCGCCACTCTTGATGTCAAAATCATGCAACTGCGGGTACCCACATTATACGTCAACAGCATGCACCGATGCATACTTTTAGTAATAATTAATTAATTAGCAAAAAATTAGTATATTTATTCATCTGATAATGTATGCTATCATAAAAACAAGCTTTAGGAATATCACACACTCGATTTGTTTTAACTCTGAAGCCTTAAAAAAAGGTAAACAGTTGGTTGAAAGTAGTCATGTGTGCGATGTTACAGAATTTCAAAGTGATGGAGTTAACAATTTGACAAGTGCCGTTGTAATGAGGCAGACCTCGGTAACTTCGCTCTCTACAAAGTTAACCTGCATGTACGTTTTATTCAGATTATTTTGAAAATTGTCTAAGTTGCAATGCACATGAAAATTACCTTTATTTACAGTTGGATAATCATCGAAATTTATGTAATTTTACTGTAATCTATCTTTGCGCTACTGTTACACTGAACAACACAGCACTTTCTTACACCCATATTTCATAAACGTTTAAATAATAGAAATCACAATGATCTTGTCTTATTTCACGTATTTATCTTTCTTTTTGCTGTCTGCTTCTGAGAATGTGCTCTGGATCGGAAACTAAAGAGGCTTCAAAAATACATTGTTACATTCAAACATTTTACAACCCTTCTTGGCACCATGTTGTTCATTTTTTTACATTTGTGTAACTGCAATTTCATAATATTGATACTATTTTTGCATACGTAATGATAACATTTGTAAATTTGACGAAATACTGTTATTCTTTCCTTAATTAAGCAAAAATGACAGTAATTTGGTACCCCACGTTTCCTGTTTTCGCCACTACGCATGCTGGCATCGACTCATGTGTCCCCTCCCATCACTTGCACCTGGCCAATAGGGGGGTCTATAATAGGTGCAAAGGGTCTATGATATAGACAAATTTTTTGTTTTTGTTTTAGGTACTTCATTAAGAAAAAAAAAACTTTTTTGCATGAAAAAAAATTCCATGCTGTAGAGAAAGGCTTTAACTATCTTGTATCTTAGTTTACAATGTGGAATTTTATCAATTATTATTCAAGAAATCAAAGTAATCCTCAAACTCTTCTTAAAGGGTCCATAATTGGAACATGTACCCTAACTCGCAGCACGCGCTGAAGAGCCATGCAGAGGCCTGCAGCGATCATAGCGACTACAAAGCTATAGTATAAACCCTTCTTTTTTAAAGACACACAATGTTTAATGAGTATAAAAGTCGCGGAATCATCAAAATTATGTGTTTTTCCATTGATTTACAAAAAAGTAAAGCTGTTTTGAAGGTTTAATTTTTAAATATTATGATTTTTAAAAAAACCTTAAATTCGGGTGTACTCGGACATATACATTGAATGTGTCGGGTTTACCCGGACACGGATGGCGGCAGTAGTCGAACAGCAAAAAACAAAGCGTTTTCGGCCTCTCTGAATTATTTTTCTTTTTTTTTGCCATAATGTCAGCATTTAAAATCTGAAATGATCACATAATACACATTTTTATTAATTATGCATTAAACCTTGCCTTATAAACAATCAGTTTTAACAGGCCACAAAAAAAAATTAGAGATTAAGTTCGATTTACCTTCAGAA